TGTTATTATCATTATCATTACTACCATCATTGTTGTTGATACTGCTGCCGTTATCATCATCTGTATTATCATCATCCTTATCATTATTATTATTGTACCCTTATGCTTTTATATTTTCAGCGCGCCGCTCTGCTGGTGGTGGTGATGCTGGCGGTGGTGTCCATGGTGGCGGCCCACCCTGAGCCTGGGTATGGCAGGGGTCATGGTGGCTATGGGTATGGTGGCCACGGCGGAGGTCATGGTGGATATGGCTACGGCGGATATGGTGGCTACGGCCATGGCAGAGGACACGGCGGTTATGGCTATGGTGGTTATGGACATGGCCGGTAGAAATACATGAGATGAAGTATTTCTTACATATATGAAGAAAGTTATTACTATCTCAGAAATCTGCATATCGAATGTCATATGATTTAGATTTTGATAAGATGGCGATGGTTGGATTACTATAAAACGAGAAGTTTGTTGTATAGAGTATATATTAAAATAAAATTCAGTTAATCCTCTCCTGTACTTCCCTTTAACCGCTTTCTGTATCAATCATATTTATCTATCTATAGAGAAATAACTTAGAGATAGAAAGACAGAGAGAGAGAGAGAGAGAGAGAGAGAGAGAGAGAGAGAGAGAGAGAGAGAGAGAGAGAGAAGAGAGAAGAAAAGACAGAGAAAGAGAGAGGAAGGAGAAAGAAAATAGGAAAGAAAAGCGAATAAGAGAAAGAAAGAGAAATGACTACATAAGGGATAAGGAGGGAAAGAAAAACGAATAAGAGAAAGAAAGAAAAATGATCACAAAAGAGATAAGGAAAGAAAAACAGCTAAAATAGATAACAATATCACGAAAGGGTGAAAAACGCTTTGAACAAAAGAAAAACATAATGCACGACAATTGTAAAGAAATACAATAATTTACCCACTTCCACTGTGCAGGAATGTATTATAGATGTATTAAGCTCGTGATCCTGTTCATGACGGTGGTAATGGCATTGGTGTTGATGGTGATAACACGTGGGAATAGTGGCCATATGAATATGATGGAGTAGACGCTAATGGCTTGTTTCCTTTGCTTTTAAAAGTTCTAAGTGCTCAGTTAGATCTTATATTAGCTGTAACCTTACGCCTTTTGAATCGTACACCAATTTTATCTGCGGTTTTTGAACGTTTGCTGGCCAAACGTCTTTCTGTATATTTGAGACCGTTTCTTCCAGAGACTCAGTTTGGTTTTAGAAAGGGACTCGGTTACAATGATGCATTGTTGATGTTGGTGCATGAAATACATTCTGTTTTAGATAAGATTCGTGAGTCAAGACTTGTCATGCTGGATTTTAGTGCAGCTTTTGACACTGCTAATCACAAGGGTTTAATATGTACATTACGGTCTGTTTCTGTTGATGGTAAAGTATTAAGTATTTAAACTGAATCTTCAGCTAGTAAACAGCAACGTGTTCATGTTCATGGTAGATTTAGATCGTATTCCCGTGTGTCTTCTGGGGTTCCTCAGGGTAGTGTTCTTGGCCCTTTGCTCTTCATTTCATACACAAGTGATATGTGGTATATGCTGATGATACTTCTCTCTGTGCTGAAATTCCTTCTCCGGCAACCAGGCAAACAATAATTGACCGTCTCACTGTAGACCTGGTGATAACTCAATCGAGGTGCTCTCGGTGGTACATCAAATTAAATCCTGCCAAGTACAAGGAAATAACAGTGAGACGGTCTAGAACGCAATTGCCTCAACATACAAGTTTGATGATTAATGGTCTTAACCGCTTCAGTGAATATTCTGAAACTCTTAGATTTAAAGCTTACATTTAGATTGCAAATTAGAAATACAGCCCATGTAATTTCTTCTGTTAGGTGTCGTTCGCAAATGCAAGATCTATGAAGATGATATTACACTAAGATGCGTCTTTTCTTTTATTCTGACTCATTTTGAGAATTGTTGTGCATGATTATATACTACGGTGGCACACCTAAAACTAGTTGATCGCTCTTTTAATTTCATTAATTTTCTCTTGTCTGACGTAATTTTGGAAAAGAGTAAGGGCATCGTAGGGATATAGGTTTATAAGTTTTTACCTGATTTTATCAACCTGCAAATGTTATTAGAAGTCTTTAGGCCTTCAATTTAAACAAATTTGAAGGAAGTCGATCGTCTACATCTCAGTTTTTTTTTTTTTTTTTTTTTTTTACTGTCCTCTGAAGGCTGTGGGATAAATTGCCTTCAGAGATTGCCACGTCTCCGACTCTTGGTAAGTTTAAAAGATCAGCTAACATGTTTTTACTACGTAAATACCGGGTAATTTTCTATCTTTTATTCTTTTCCTACCTGTATCTTGACCTGCACTGACACCATTGGTATAAATCTCGAATATTTCAGTAAGGTTCCCAATATAGCTTACCATGATGATAATGATAATGGTATATTGGAAGGTATGGTGGATATGGGTAGACTGGCTGCGGTGAAAGGTATGGTTGACATGCTGACTGCAGCCAAGGGAGCTTACATAATGAATAAAGGTAAGGGAAGTATCCTGCTTGAAGGGCATCGCGTAACGTTTTCAGAGGGAGTTTATTCTGCCGAGTAAGAGTATGATAACAGAAGTAAATATATACAAATATATGTACATGTGTGTTTTCGTCTGCGGGAGAGAAAATGTCTTTCTTGTGTACATTTAAAACTGATATAGCGTTATTGACAACTGTACCACACATTCCAGACGACGATGTGGTCAGAGAGATAACACTTTTATTAAGCACATGGGATACAAAAAATTGATGAGTAACTAAGGTCAGGATCTCCCCTCTGGGATGGCTCGGAAATGCAAAATAGATACATAAAAATCTTTTTACTTAACCCGCGAGACAGTCACGCGTAATAAGGTCATATTATTTGTCTGGAACCTCCTGTTTTCATTATTAATAAAAGTATATATATATATATTTATTTATACATATATATGCATCAATTCTCGGAACCAAATACCAAACAGAATTTGAGAAACATACTTTTGCAAATAGTAATAGCTTTAATCGAAATTGTTCTTTGATCATAGAGAACATATTTTATGTAATATATATATATATATATATATATATATATAATATATATATATTATATATATATATATATATATATATATATATATATATATATGTATATATTCTTTTATCCTGAATCACAATACTTTTAGTCATAATCTCTCCTATTTTTGTATGTAAAATTCTCCGTCATTCATGCATTGTTTTTGCCATGCCATGCGACCTCGAAGAATAAAGCATTTGCAGTATATAAAGGGAGGCGCTGAATGGAGGTCTCAGAACGAGAACAGTCCATAAACATGGTGACTACTTTTGTGCTGGTGAGAAAACTTTATTAATCAGTTCATTTTAGTAATTTTCAGCTTTTTCAGTATTTGTAGGGACCCCTCTTATTCTTCATATAAATACAGGTACTTTTTTTCTTTTGTCATTATTATCATCATTAGAAGTAATTAGATTTTATTCACTTTGTTTTATTCTTTTGTTCTTTTACTTGGTATGCTCCTTTGTATGTCGTTATTACATGAGCTTATTCATCGATCATATCTTTATATGCTTTGGGCAATTCAGAACAGAAATGAAACTAAGATAATGTACTTCCTATGCAAATATTATATCTGAAGTGAGAAGTTTGTCTTATTATTCTTTATCACTTGTGCGTATTACAAGTTTTACTTTTTCTTATTTCATAATTTTATGCTAATGTTTATTCCTCAGCGTGTGGTCCTGTTCGCTATGATGGCGATGGCATTGTCATTACTGCCATTATTGTTGTTGATACTGATGCCGTTATCATTATCATCTGTATTATTGTTATTATTATCATCCTTATCATTATTGTTATTGTACCATTATGCTTTTATATTTTCAGCGCGCCGCTCTGCTGGTGGTGGTGATGCTGGCGGTGGTGTCCATGGTGGCGGCCCACCCTGAGCCCGGGTATGGCAGGGGTCATGGTGGCTATGGGTATGGTGGCCACGGCGGAGGTCATGGTGGATATGGCTACGGCGGATATGGTGGCTACGGCCATGGCAGAGGACACGGCGGTTATGGATATGGTGGTTATGGTTACGGACGATGAACAGGATAAAACAAGTAGGATATGGAATAACTACCTGAATAAATGAATATGAAATGTAAAGAGCCGCCCTTTTATTTAATGAAAAGAAAAAAGAAAAAAGAACTAGAAAATAAGGTATAAGAACTCCCACAAAATTATAATTTATCATCATTACTTAGAAGTAGGTTGGTATACGATACACTCTACGGAATAACAAGTAGTATACAAATATTAAAAAAGAAAAAGAAAAAGAAAAAAAAGACATAATTTGATCATTTTAGATAATGAAGTATGTAAATAATGATACAAATGATACAAAATACTAATTAAAACGGCAATCTGAAATAAAAGGCAGAGGGATAAAGAGAAATAGAGAAAAGAATAGAATAGAGAAAAGAAAGTGAAAGGACTGAAAGAGGAGAGAAGCCTAGTGAAAGAGAAAGGAGGAGTGAAAAAGAGGAGAAATGAATGAAAGTGAAAGGGATAGGGAGATGGAGGAGAAATGAAGTAAAGTATAAGAAAGAGGAGAGAATGAACAATGAAAGATAAGAAGTAGAATTAAGAAGGGAATTAAATGAAAATTTGGTTATATAAAAACGATGAGGGGAGAAACTGAAGAGACTGAGAAGGAAAAGGAGAGAAAGAGCTGAAGGAAAAGGAAGAGAAATGAAGGAAATGAAACAGATAAAAAAAAACAGCTATTTCCTTTTAGGTTCTCATTTTACCATCATACTTATTGTTTCCAAAAAGAAAAAAAGGATGAAATTGCTTAAAAGTAATGCAAGAGGGAGTTTTCATTCCTAAATTCTACGATTCGGTTTCTTTAAATTTAATATCCCATTTAGCCCTTATGCATATAAGGGCTAAATAGGACACATGCACACATATGATTTATACATATATGTGTGTGCGTGTGCTTATTAATTTGTAAATATCTTTATGTACACACATACACGTATATATATATATATATATATATATATATATATATATATATATATATAATATATATATGTATATATATGTATATATAATATATAATATATATATATATATATATATATATATAATATATATATGTGTGTGTGTGTGTGTGTGTGTGTGTGTGTGTGTGTGTGTGTGTGTGTGTGTGTGTGTTGTGTTCTTACTGTCATTATCATTATCATTATCATCCTCATTATCACTATCATTATTGTTAGTACCATTATCCTTATTATTTTCATTATTATAATTATCATTATTAGCATTGTTTTCATCAGTATTGGTATTGTTTTTAACTTCATCATTATCATTAGGATTGTTATTTTCATTATCATCATTATTGTTATCATTATTTTCATTATAATAATAAGTATTATTATTATCATTACTATTATCATCATCATTATTATATTATCATTATTCTTATTACTATCATTATTATTACATCTGTCATTATTGTCATTATCTTTATTGTTCTCCTTATTATTGTTATTGTCATTACTTATCATAACCATCATTACTAATTAATGTTATTGTCAATATTATCATCATTGTTATCATTATTTTTATTATCCTTATTATCATTATTATTATTATTATTATTTTTATCATTATCATTATCATTATTACTATTATTGTTAACGTTATCATTATTATCATCATCATTACTACTACTACTACTATCATTAGTTTTATTGTTGTTATCATTAGAAAATTGGCTAATATTATTATTCATGTTTTTTTTATATTGGTGTTATTATTTTGCATTATCTTAATCATAATTATTATTATCATCATTATCCTTATTATCTTTACTATTATCATCTTCATCAAATGTATCATTATCATAATTACCATTATTCTAATAATAATAATGATAATAATGATAATAGCGATTACCATTATCATTATTACTATCATCATAATAATATATAAGCTTCTATTCTATCCTAACCAGAAGACACGATGTGTGAATATTCTAAAAAAAAAAAAAAAAAAAGAAAAAAAAGAAAAAAAAATCATAGTGTATTAAAGTAAAGCAGAAGTGTAAGGGGTGAGGGGATAATATCGGACAAAGAAAGAGATAGGATATATATCTTCGCTCATTTTCCTGTTGTATTACTTAAAGGCAAGACCAATCAACAAAACTCAAAGATGAAAAGATAGTAGAATAGAAAAAAAATGTTTTAATGTTTTACACGTTTGGTTTGGTATTTTTCTCTTAAATAATGATAATGGCGGATTATGTTATATATAGTACAGTAAAGAAGGCATGCAAAATTATATATAAAAAAACAACAAAAAACATGTATATTAAAGTTATTGTCACCATTACCATTATCATTATTATTACTTTGAATGTTATTATCACTATCATTATCATTATTACCGTTTCGTCCATTTTTATTCATATCCATAACCACCATGGCCACCATATTCATATCCACCATACCCTCTGCCGTGGCCACCATACCCATACCTATGAGAAGAAATATGCATGTGTATATATGGAAATATATGTATGCGTATGCATATGTGTGTGTGTATGATTTTTAGAGAGGGGGGGGAGAAATATATATTTTTTGACTCTTGCCTTTATTGAATTAATTTCCTTCTCTTTTTCGGCCACATCTTTCCGTCCAATTAGTTTTAGCGACCGTGTCCATATCCGTAGCCGCCGTATCCTCCGCCATAGCCGTAGCCACCATAGCCATATCCACCATGACCTCCGCCGTGGCCACCATACCCATAGCCACCATGACCCCTGCCATACCCAGGCTCAGGGTGGGCCGCCACCATGGACACCACCGCCAGCATCACCACCGCCAACAGAGCGGCGCGCTGGGGAGCACAAAGGAAGGGGACATAACAATAGTTATGGGGAAAATAGAGTAGGAAAGCTATGAAGATGAGGTGGACGAAGATGATAAAGCAAGGAAACAGGAAGGAGAAAACTGTAAAAGAATTGCGATTTACCCTAAATATCTTCCCAGAAAATATAGATTTTAATTTTTTTTTTTATTAATTATCATTGTTATTATATATATATTTTTGTCAAGTTGTTATTCATATTTTTTTTATTGGGGTTGTTTATTGAATCCAAATGGTTTTACACGCCTTTGCAAGTTAATACAAGAAAATTCAATATTACATCCTATAGCTACAAAGAGATATGCGAAAGTAACAATGATTAGTTGTCAACACTAGCATGCTGTCGATATAATTAGTCTGTAGATACTGTATGAATAATAATAATTCCTTTCGACTGGGGTTTACTAAGAAGTCACTTAGTCGATAGTAATGTAAATAATGTAGACGCAAAATGCATCAAAAAGTGTCTTACCAAAACGAGAGAAGTAATCATACTGAGAATGTTAGCAGTTGGACCTGGTATGTCTCTCGCTCGGAGGCAGTGGCCT